AAAATTTCCAGTAGACAGATGTAAGAGCTTAGATACAATTTTCAGCTATGAATACTGTGAATACCAAGATCCAAGTCTTTAGTTTGTTTTTCTGAAGCACTAAACACTAGCTTGAAAAATTGAGATCCACCTCTGGGGTCTTGATTCCAAAACAAGCTGAAGACTCTTGTTGCCTGGGTTTGCCTTCCTGGCCATTTGCAGTATGAGTCTGGCTTGCTTAACTCCGTGAAATGAATGTGACTGTGTAACCAGGCTAACTGTACCTGCTGCTGAAAGACAAGTACTAAATCAGCATGAAGGAACTATTTGCTCTTCTTTGGAAGGGATTCATTCGGAACAGGTTTCCACACAAAGCTTATGCCATTCTGAATGTCCATATCTGTTCTGTGACTTCAGTTTCACTTTGAAATTAATATCCATCCACACTGTGCATGCTTTTAATCTGGTAGTTCTGTGTTATATATATTCTCTCAGTCTTCTCTTGCTGTAAAGAAGGTGGCTGTTTGATAGGAAAGGTGTTAGGCTGGTGTTTCTGACAATTTGTGTAGAGCTTTTTAGCTGTCCTGTTTTCAAAATCTATGCTGCTTCTATCAACATGTACACGCTTGTATCTGTTGCTTATAGCAACACCAATACAATCAATAAAACATTTTTTTAAAATATATTGAATGTTCACAAGCAAAACAGTCTATTTTCTACCCTCAGAGGTCTAAATGACAAATCTTCAGTCGATACTGTCATACTTTGAATGCATTAAAATTGATTTGTGGCTTTCAAAGCAGCCTCTTTGTCCGCTGTTACTGCATTGATTCGGTGGAACTAAATTTCATCATTTGAGCATCTGATGTATGGTGACTAGCACTGTATTAAATCCACAGACCCAGACTAGGGGTGGCAAGGAAATGTCCAGGTTAAGCGGGCGGTCCTTGCCTGACCTCTCACACCCCTGACATTGGTCACATTCCTGTGGGGCACTCCAGCGCCTTCTGCCTCCTGCCTTTCTATTGAGCATTACCCCATGGAAACTCGTCCTCCATATTTTTCTCCTCCCTTTAAGTGCTTATCGCTTTGGTTAAAATGAAAATCCAACTTAAATTTACTAGTCAAATTTTATCTGATATTTTTCCTAACATTTATATTGAAATTGAATTAGAATGCAAAGCCGGTTGAACAAACACGTCCCTAATTCATTATGAAACACAGTTAAAGATGGTTTTATTAAATTATATGTTATTCCATGCAAACTGACCGATTCAAAGGGAAGAAATAAATGCAAACATCTAAAAACCCCTTCTATTATGCTATTGAAAGAAAAATGTGCTGTGGTGCTGTTTAAAAAAAGCTGAAGAGCTAATTACCATCAAATAAGATGCAGTAGGAGTATTTTTAGAATAATGGACTCTAATTAGTCCATTGCTCGTTGAAATAAATCCGAGGGCATCATTAACACATCTTATTCTATTAATTGTAGCTGCTCTGGGTTTGGTGTAAGCGGGCTGTTATCTCGCGGCAGTTGTATTGCAAAGAAGAAAGGAAAAAAGAGTATTTTTATCTGGGGTAGTTGGCTGTCCGTCTGCTGGGGGCCAAGGGGAGCTGTAATTACAGTTTTTGAAAGAGAAATTTGGGCGTTATAAGGAAGCCGCTGGTTCGGGGGCGCGGAGAAGGGGGTGTTTCGGCCTGCCGGCGCCAGGCCCCGCTCCGCGGAGGCAGCGGGCGGAGGGAGTCCGGTCCGGGCTTTCCCGCCGCCCCCGGCCG